AAGAAAAAGAAAAAGAAAAAGAAAAGCAGAACAGACTGTTGGGCTCTGTGGTACTGAAAAAACTGTGTCAACTTGACTGGCTTGGGAGACATCCACAGGATTAGCAAAGCGCACTTCTGGGAGTGCGTGGCAGGACTTGGAAGTGTGGCCCTGGAGTCATTCTCCAGCCCCTGTGGTCCTTCCTCCTTGGCACAGGTCCTCTGCTCTGCTTCCCAGCCACAGTGAATTAAACTGCTTTGCTCTCCTAAGCCCTTCCACCATGATCCTCCTGCCTTGGAGCCAGCTGACCATGGACTGACTCCCCTGGAATCGTGAGCTGAACTAAACCTCCCATTCTTAGGCTGTGGGTATTGGGTATCATGTCCCAGGGACAGGAAAGTGACTGGCACAGGCCCCACACAGAGTGAGCAGGATCTACTAAACATTACAGGAGCACAACTCACTCTGCATGTAAAGCCTGAGCTGGAAGCCAGGGGCAGCGAGACTGGATGTGAAGGGCCAGTGCTGCTTCTGAGAGGAGGAGCCATTCACCGCTACTGATGAAGACATGGGCCTTTGATGGCTTCCTCATTTCTGGTGTCCTTAGACAGCAGCCAAAATGGGGCAGAACTGAGGTTGACTTCCCTGTGGGCCCTCAGGCCCAGCACCAGGAGATCTAAGCCCAGGCAAGAGGCTCATCAAAGTCACCACAGGTGGTCACATCCCCTGCTGGGCCCCTGAAGATCCTGCACAAACAAGACCTTGGTAGCAGTGGTGCCCAGCCTGCCTGCACCACAATCTTCTGAGAGACTTTGCCACCCTCCCTTACCAAGGCCATCCATCACCAGGCCCCTAGACCAGGAACCGGTGGTACAAAGGTGGGGCAGGCAGCCTCAGCAGGGCCACTGTGCGCTGCCACCTCTGCGAAGCCAGGCCCCTTGTACAGGGCAGGGAATGTTGCCCCAGCCATTCTGGGTCACCTGCGTGCCTGCCCACCTGCACAGAGCAGGACCAAGTATCATCCCTAGCCACACAGTGTGTGATTTTATAGGAAACCCTATGAAGCTGAGTTTAGATGCTTCCTTTACAAACTGTCTTTAAAAAGTTGTTCAACATCAATAATCACTAGGAAGAGGAAAATCAAAGCCACACAATTATGATGGGCTACCAAAGCAAACTTTAATTTAAAAAAAGCAGGAAATCCAGAGCATGGACAAAGATAGGGGAAAATTGGAACCCTCGTGTGCATGGTTGTTCGGCAGCTCCACAAGTTTCCTGGAGCCAATCACTCTACTTCCCGGCACGTGTACAAAACACCAAAGCAGGCACTTGGGGTTAGGAGCAGAGCTGCTTACCAGAGAGAGAGGTGGATCCCCCAGAGGGGAGGGGAAAAGTGAGTGGTGCAGCGCAGCCTTCGCCCGGAGATTCAGACACATGATACAACAGCGACGAACTCCAAGGACACTATGTTAAGGGAAATAAGCCAGCCAGGGGAAAGACAAACACTAACCTGGTCTAGTGGTGCATGCCCATAAGCCCAGCACTCTGGGAGGCTGAGGCAGGAGAATCACATCTTCAAGCCCAGCCTGAACCTGGGGTATCTAGCAACTAGTGAGAACCTGTCTCAAAATAAGAACTAGGATGGGATAGGATATACTTGAAAGCACAGGGTACACTTAAAACTACTCAACTGTGCCCCCAAAATGATTATGATAGTAAATTTCATGTTATGCATATTTTACTACATCAGAAAAGAAAATCACAACAATACAAAGCAACTTTGTGAGGAAATGGCTAGGATTCCTTTCACAGTAAATGGGATTTTCTTAACCAGCATCTGAGCTGGGCTGGGGGTGGCATGGCAGAGAGCCAAGGACCACTCCACACTCTCCCCACAACCAGAGATGCCCTGCTGGGGCAACTGTTGGGAAGAAGATGCTCATCCACCAGTGCCTGTGCCGCCCCCATTGTCCCCTGGAGCTTCATGCAGCCTTTTCTGTCCACCAGCAGTGGCAGGTGCTGGTCCCGAGAGGCTGAAGCAGAGGGGTGGAGGCTCTGGCAGGCACTGATGCAGCAGGCATGATTAAGGAGAAGTGGCTGTGCCCCAGGGCAGAGCAAGAGGCAGGGCACAAGGAGAGGGAATCAGGGGGAGGAGAGGCAGGGCAAGTCCCTTCCAGGCCCCTGGCACATGAAGGCACCCATCCAACAGGGGCTGGCTACACGTCAGAACCAGCGACTTCCACTAGAAGACAAAGCACAGTGTCACGGCCTGGGGTGAGGTAAAGAACACACCTCAACCGTCCTACCTCAGGGTTCTAGCATGTTCACTCCTCACCTGCGGGCACATCTGGGGGACATCCCTGTGTGACTACACCTCTGCTAGGCCAGTCAGGGAGTCCTTCCAATTCATGCCAATCACACAGCAAGATGGAACCAGGCCCAGTTTCTGATCAGCTTCACTTCCCAGGTCTGCTCATGGAAGGTGAAACCCCCCAAGGTCCTTCTCCCTGTGCCTTGTGAGGGCACTGGGCTCCGGGCATGGGGAGATGGATGCTTCTGAAGAGAAACGTGTAACACTGAGCTCTGTGACTGGCTGATTGTGGGTGCTTAATAAACATTCAATCATAACCATCTTAATTACTGGATTACATCATGTCTGTCTTCAGTAGGATATAAATAAATAATGTCGTGATAATAATGAGGCTGTCTTGCAAAGCTGCTCTGCGTGAACTCCCGCTATGATGCAGGCAGTTTTAATAAATTTGGGTGGATTTTATATTTCATAAAGATATATATGCACACACAGCAGGTAACCAGTTCTGAGGGTGAGACTTGCTTCATATTTACAAGGCAGAACACTTTCCAGTTTCCTGCTTAGGGGGTTGCCTTCAGGCTTCCTTTCGCCCAAATCCCATGGCATCTGGCTTTCAGGGCACAGGTGATAGGACAAAGGGCTGGGAGTCCCAGGATCCTTTCCTGCCTAGAACAGAGCCACAAATGCTGAGGTCTCCACCCCCACCCTACCCCCCCACCCCCTGACCAGCAGGCTCTGCAGGGAGGGGAGAAGCAGGGGGTCCACACCAGGGGGTAGAGGCTGCCCTCAGCTCAGTCCAACTCCTGTTCATATATGGGTATGCCATCCCCATGTCCCTCATCTTCCACCAAAGAACCAGCAAGACAGCTATCCCTGCAAAATTCTCTTGATTCTTAAATGCAGATGATTCATCTGAACTCTTGTAAAATCCAGCCTTCTGAGGCACTAGGGAGCATCTGGCCCTGGATGGCCCTAGACAGTGTAGGAGTTTACAGCTGAGGCTCAGGGTGTGCCAGGAAGAGAGAGTGACCATCCCTCTCTGAAGGCTGGGAATGGACAGGGCCCCAGGGTAAGCCACTAGCTGACCTCGCAGATTCACTGTGTACCTCCCCGAAAGTCTCTTTCCTCCCCTTTATCCCTAGAAAGTGAAGGATGCCAAGGCTGCAGGGCTCTGGGAGTCCATATACAATACGATGATATGAAGTCTTCTGCAGACCTACCAGTACCATGCTCTGCTAAGGAGCCCACAGCTCCTGAACTCTGGCTTTGGGAAGCTTCCAGAAGCCTCTGGACCTTTCTAGAAGCTTCCAGGAGCTTCTAGAAACAAAGGCACTCTTGGGAAGCTTGGACCTGAATGCCAAACCTCAACACCGGAGGAAATGGTAACTCGCATGGCCACCTTCCAAGGATTATGCAATGGGCTGTTCCTGCTTCATCCATATCTGATTCCTATCCTGGGCTCTGTAGGAGAATGAGAAGGGAAGGAATTCCTCTGGAGCAGCTTCCCTGTGTGAGGTGGGGACAGCTGTGATATCCTCAGGTCCCCACAGGAAGCCAACAGCTCTGACAGTAGAGGTGACTATGCCAGGTTCAAGCACCCACCTCACCCTCCCACTGCTCCAGCAGGAAAAGCCGCAGGGAGTCAAGAGTCTCTGATCAGTGGTAGGATGGGCTTTCTCCACCCTGCTGCAGCCACCTCAGTGAAAGGTGCATTGCTCTTCTTTCGGTTGTCACTGTTGTTTTGAGACAGGGTCTACCTATACAGTTCCTGTGCTGGCCTTAAACTCACTATGAAGCCTGGGTTAACCAGGTGATCCTCCTGCCTCAGATTCCCAAGTGCTGGGATTATAGGCATGTACCACACACTTGGCTTACATCACTCTTCAAAGAAAAATTCAACACACACACACACACACACACACACACACACACACACTTTACTTCCAAAACATTTGTTAATTTTCTGTATCTTTCTTTCTGTGACTACAATATGGTATTTGAGCCCCTTCATGTATATAGGCATTTTTGCTTTTGTCTTTTTATATGAATGCACAGTTTTTACACAACTATGTGTACTCCACTTTACTTCATTGCATATCACCCTACCCTATTTTCTCCTGGTTTGTATTTTTTCCTTTGTCAGAGCAGCCCTATGTGTCCAGAACATGGGCTGGGTGTTGAATTGTTCCTGATGTCTGTGGCTTTGCCAGTGCTTGCGGAGCTGCTGTCCTCCTGAAGCCATGCTGTATCAAATAACCCTAAGTGAGGCTACCAGACAGACTGGA